GACATAGACATGTACAAATCTGTATCCTTTGGCGTGTATATTCTCAAGCCAATCAAAATAGCTACGTCGTTATACTTTTTAGTGTAAGCTTATTCTACTTCTTTTATTGGCCAGTTGGTGAAGACCTCCACCCACAAACCCGATCTCCAGGCTTTGGTCGAGGTCGAGGTCGAGGTTCTTGCAATATTCTGTATTCAGCGTTTTTACTAACTCCAACTGTCCACTGCACGACCGTTTTCTTATACTACGTTGCTTAAGCAGGGCTAAGCGTTCGATTACGCTCAGATCTTCATCTAGCCGTCGGACGAACTCCTCGTCTGTATGTGCGGCCTTTTGCTCAGACTGTGCCTTATCGGAATTAAGGTTGATAAACTCATCGTCGTGCGAACCAAATCGCAGGCATCGTTTCGCCGCGACGCCTGAATCAATTGAAGGACTTATTTTAGTGCGATTGGGTTTTTCATTAGACGCTTTAAGAGTCCTGTTTTTAGGAGTCTCTACAGTTGGAGCCTTCCTACGATCGGGTCTGTATTGAGTATAACTAAACGGTGCGTCAACATAATCATCTGTGTAAGAAATCTCGGATTTCTCAATGTCTTTAATGTAATTTTTATATAACATTGCATGCAGAAGTGGGTAGCACTCCCAGGTTGGACAATATGCTTGACCCATGGCCGAAAGTTTGCACATTCGATTCAGCTCCCGCTTGTACCTATCGCGCAGGCTTGTCCATTTCTTGACTGCGTCTTGCGCTGGAATGCCTAACTGAAATCCGATTTTATTCCAGCCAACTACTCTGATTTCCGGTCTATGGTTGAGACTATGCGATTTATCGTATAGATAGGGAGTGTCCTTCACTAGCTGAATCAGCTTCATCCGTGAACCGCTCGGATCACTGTCGTATGCTTCTTCAGTGATAGGGCTCACATTTTCATTTACTTCCTCAGTAGTTATTCCATACTGGTCTTTAAGCGCCAGCAAAATATTGAAAGCCTCGATGAGCAACTTTGTTATGCGATCATTTTGTGGCCTCTGTTGGGTTTGTAGAATGTCAATATACATCGTTGCTGCCTCTAGTCCAAGTTTTATTTCGAGATCATCAATGTTAACCCCATTACACGCTGCCCTACTCTGCAGACAGTGAGAACCGGCATAGAGTAAAGTTATGTTCCGGCACAATTCGTTCTCAAGTAGGTATCTGTAGAGCTTTGATTCCATAGCTGCGCTTGTTCCCGTACGAATGTGTGTGATTCGCTACCACGCTGAATCGTTATGGCACAGAACACGTAACCGGTAATCGCACAGCGGATACCGTTTGAGGCCAAGTGTTTAATGACTAAGGTGTACGGAGAGTCGCAAAAGTCAATAGCACTGACCTTACGCCACGTACACACCACGATGATCCATTCCTATTCTAGTGGCGTCCTCTAGAGATTCGATCAAAACTTCGAACAAACTTCTAATAATATTTACACAGACTCACACGACGCACAAGACTGTCAGGTTTGGCAACGTACTTCGGTGCAAAAAGCCCAAAAGGAATGCGGCAGGTTATTCAGAAACAAATGTATCATGCTCAGTTTTGACCGCGTCCAACACCTCACTGGCCAAGAAACTTCGGATAAAAAGAGCCTTCCTCATTGAGTGTGTCTCTTTGTAAGCAGCCGACGTTCAAATAAGCCGCGAACAATTCAAAATGTCACGTCCGCAGCTGATGTTTTCATATAGGCCACGCATGAACGGACGTGCAGTAGTTCTACCGCGGATTCTGCACGAGCAGTGATCGCGTATATTGCGCCAATGATGCGCGTAAACAATGCGTGTGTAACGCGGAACGCCTAATGCCCATTGACTCACACTCCTAAACCACCATTTCATGCATTGTTTACGTCAAGGCCCTAAATATATGACTGTTATTAATCAGTTCCTATCTTAGACTTGTGACTTTTCTTCTACAAGGTTCCAATAGATTGAACAGCAAACGTGTATTTTTATCCTGCTTTGCTTGTACCTTCGGCCGCACGGAATGTACCACATTGAAAATGTCGGTCCAAAAAGGTCTCGGACAAACAGCTCCGTTGACAAAGATGCCGTCAAATAATGACTTACATTAGAGAGTGAAGTAAGAAAGGTGCATGATTTTAGTTTAAAATGGAAATAGATTGATAATCGTTCTGTGACGTCCGATCACGCATAATATGGGACCGTACAAAGCATTTTTAGCGTAACCTACCGAAAAAATATCTAGACACAGAAAAGGAAATAAGTTAACGAAAACTATTCTGTAAATCATATCCTATTTTCACGCAGCTTCCAAAAAGCTGCACTTAATACTGTTTTGCATTTTTTTTAAATTATTTAAAATTATTCATTTGATTGGGATCAGCTAAAGGACAACAGGTTCTTTTTTGTGAAGTTTCCCCTGAACTACTCGCCGCACTACCGTCGAAACGGTTTTAGCAATTCTGATGGTAGACAATCCATAGGAAAATGGAGAATTTGTCCAGAGTCCCCTTAATCCTTTTATTGAGTTGCTATCCAGAGCTAACCTGTAAACCGGACACTGAACCAGTTGACAAATGGTACATTAGAACCGATGCTAGTATGCTGTATTGATATTCAGCTGCAAATCTTTCATAATCATAATTATTTTGAAGATACTGCTATTCATCTATAATATCAACTTGATTATCATGTTCTAGTTCCGCTAAATTAGCGTGAAAAAAATTCGTTGTTTAATCGATTCGTGTGAGGTATTCAGTTGGCCAATGATCATAGTGAAAAAAATCAAAAGCGATGATAGAGCAAATTACAAAAAAAACTCAGTTCCCTTAAAATAACTACGCTGTTCCTTGGCTTGAGTGCCCACAAATGCGTTCAGGTCGAAGTTATATACAGTTCGCCCTAAAAACTTCAAAAAAAAAAAAAAAGAAATATGGATATGACCACACAGTGTCTCTGTGTGATCATATCCACAGTACGTGCGCGTACCAACCAGCTCATTGAACACTCATCCAACGACACGAACATAATGGACTAAGCCTAATAGCAGTATATCGAAGTCGAGATGATTCCATTTAAAAAACATAGAAAAAAATAAGTGAACCTCTGGGCGATTTTTCTACGAAAGTCAAAGAAAAACAGGTCACGATGCCGGATAGAAGTGGCTATTGTTTGCACTACCGTAGCTTGTTACCAGGTCTTGTATGTTGTACACCCTTTATGTATAGATACTACGTTCAATATGTGTACATAGACCTGTATTAAATTCAGACATTATGCAAGATTGTATGTATAAACGATAGTAAACCGATGTTTACTATCGTTTATATCGATCATGATGTACGGTTGGGTTACTACAGCGGAACGGACGAAGGGATGAGGCGAAAGGACGAGCAAGCTTATATATTATATTGCAATTTTCAGTCTTTCGAGATTTACCTAGTACAATACGTTGATATTAGAGAGTAGATAACCCTAAACTCGGGGAAACACTAAATTGCAGATGCCAAAGCGAGATGATCTGCTCTACGTTCAGTTTTATATTTTCAGCGGGTACGGCAGCTGTGTAGAATTTAGACCAGCTTGTAACGAATTGATTTCCATTGTAAGAAAATTACGAATATTAGAATAAAACGTTAGACTAACGATATCAGCTTTGACAAGGTAGTTTTTTGCTCGATATCAATACCGATTGACACAAGCCTAACACACATTAGCTCTATTTTGAAATGACTAAAATACACCGTGACTATATCTAACAACAACTATTTCGCTGTTTTCTCATGGCTTATTATGTTAGCCTTCTGCTGATCGACGCGACTCTGGCGTTTCGTAATTCAACAACAGCTAGATAAACCTTCCAGTGCTCATAATTAAGCCATATTATAACGCAGCGGCTACGCCAACGCGCTTTATTATTTACCCTCAACAAATGGTCTCAAGTAGTCGCCGGCCGATACTTCACACTGACGATGAATGTTTAAAATCCTTCCCTTCGTTTGATTTAAGATCGTAACGAAAAACCCACAGGCCTTAGTTTCTTAGGGACCACCAGCCACCGCCGCTTAATGAATCGTCGATGCAGCCGTTATATAAATGCATATAAAAATTAGAAATTTCAATATCCAAAGCTATGTTTCTCCGAAATACCGCGTTCAACGTGTTTGTCACAGCGATGTTCCTATCGTAACATTTAAAACATTGACATACGACTCACTGAATGTTACTGTAGAGTTCCAATTATACCGCAAACAGGGTCCTGATCTCAAGCGATATACTATACAGATATGTTGAACACAAGTCTCTCTATCGCTGAGCATCCAACTAAGCGAGCCAGACTCTAGGAAGATCGTCCATGTTCGATTGTTAACGATTAAAATATTCATGTGTAGGTCGTAAACAATCTGTTTGTACAGGCTGCAATCGTCACAATGTTCCACCCACATGCGCCACTTTCATCATACGTTACTGTCGAAGATTACTCTGAGCACTATCCGGCTCTGTTCTGGAGATTCTATCCGCATCGAGACGATATGCCCAATGCAATTTTCCTAGTCCACGTTGGTTCCTATAGAAAGCAATACACATAGCTCAATGTAAATGTGTTTGTCTGTAATAGTGACTATAGCAGCAATCAACCAATTCGGTGATAGGCGCACGGCCTGTTGGCGGAGTTAGTCATCGAAAGATTATACCTAAGCTGGTCTTTCATTGTTCAGCTCAGGCAATAATTTTTCCCTACACCTTAACAGGTTTTCAGGTGGATTAGATGGACCTAGGCGGCCGCCATCATGGTAGGCCCGAATGCGTAACTATGCCACACAACCTACACAAACAAAAAGAGTGATAGGGTACTCTTTAAATCAGACAACGACGAGCCGAAATTTCCCTCACTCTCCACTCTTACAGACAAGCAGACGGGACACGCATTTTGTCACACTGTGCGTACGGATGCATACTGTCGCGCAGAGAATCAACAGGTAAGTCAGATCGATAGGCAGACGACAGGGCAGCGTTGATGGGAACAGCAATAAACGGTCAGGCACTCCTGGTATGAAGAAGCAGTAGCGGTGAACGAGCGAAATGGTTTTTGCGGAGCTAGTTATCCTTGCGGATATTATGTCGCGTCATCAGCTGCTAGCGACTTCGACTGCCACTACTCCTTGTGTTTGCCAGGCTGGACGCAATGCGTTCATCTAGCGTGTGAAACGTTAGGGCATAGCCGTTATCGAGCAATGGCCATTTCTACGATTGTCACTCTCAGGAGAGACTTAGAGCGGGTTGAGTTCCTGTCGATTGTACGCTAACTACAAAGTCGCAAATTCGATGATCGATGACGCCAAAGGACCGACGATAGCTGATGGTCTTATTACTGCCGCTGCTAGTAAAATAGAGCGTAAAGCTCATTATTGCCAATTGGGTCAGCCGCCCAACCAGCCAGGCATTCGCTTGTCGAGCTTATGAGTACAGGTCATCGCTCCCTGCATTGGCGCCAAAGCAGGGTTAACGTTGCCAAAATCAACGACATCACCGCCTGTACAGCAAGTACACTGCTCGCCTGGAGTGCCATCCGTTACGGTAGCCACAGCGCAGGCACTAATAGGGGACCATGCAAAGGCGTCGTGTTCCTGTTCTGGGTTACCGGAAAAAAAACAGCCGCTTATGCTGCCAGTAATGTGAATAGCCTGACAGTAGCAACAACAAGTACATACCGGATGAATACTATTGACTTTGTAATACCTCGAACATATCAATTAAAGACTGCGTTGAGTGATAGTGTGAAGCATACAATAACATATGTATATTATGATTGTACCTGAACATTTTTTTACTACCGTATTGTATTATCGCACGAGTATGATTCAGTACGAAGTAGGAGCCTTAATAAGCTACATTGGCACACTCAATGGACTCTGTTAATCAGGCGTGACGTTTATAGGCACCCGCGCTTGCAGTATGTGTGTGCCGCAAATTAACGTAGTTTGTTCGATCCCGTCTTGAAGCGTGACGCAATCTGCCTTACCAAAAGGACCTCTGCTTTAATTAGAGTGCTAATGATGAACTAGCAATCGTTGCCGCTACCGCTGCTGGTGTCAGGAGCGACATATAAACAAAGCAAAAGATTTGCGTGCTAAGAGCGACGTGACTTGATCCGGACGTTTTGCACGGACGTCAGTTCTCTGACAGTGTAGTTCGAACGCTAACGGTGGTGTTCAGGCTCAACTATCTCTATTCGTTATTGTCAGAGGACGACAAAATAGCCCATCAGACAGGCAAAGTGACCGCTATCCGGTGGGTTGTGTATTACCAAATCATTACAGATCTAATATGTGCTGTGTCAGCAGCACGTCGACACTACCAAAGCACTGTATGGATTTTTGGGAAAATTTTTGGGGTGGAGTATCATTGCTTATTGCCGGCTTGTTTATTCTATGTTCTTTCGTCTATTCGGTTCTACTGAATATTGTTACAGAAGATGATCCAGCTAGTTTTATTCTTTTAGCTACGATGGTGTTTAGCGAATTCGCCTTATTGATGTGGTCATATGGGGCGACACATTTTACACGTCCGCCAGATATCCCAGCGAAGTACCATTTCACTTCGGAAGAGTGGTCGTTTCTCGAAGAGCATGGCTTCCAAACGGAGGCGGTGCGTGAGCGGCTGTCAGCCATGGCCGTACAGAGGGGGGTTCGCACCCGTTCGTATAGCGGCCATGTCAATTACTGCTACCAGTGTCGTCTTATCAAACCAGAACGAACTCACCACTGCTCGATGTGCCGTCGTTGTATTGCACGTATGGATCATCACTGTCCCTATTTCGGGAATTGTATCCACTTTAGCAACTTTAAATTCTTTGTGCTGACGTTGTTCCATGCAAGTTTAGCCTGTTTGTTAATCGTATTGTCAACCGTTGTTTACGTAGTGGTTCATGGAAGGGGTCTGCATCGCATGTATGATAACATACCTGCAATGGTCGTCTTTGGCTTTATGATGGGAGTGTGCATCATTATCGTATTCACGATCGGTGGATTTTTTTGTGTATCAATGAAGCAGGCGATACACAACATGACGACATTGGAGAGTATCGGTGGCACGGTTCTTTTCGCGGATGGTACCAAAGAGACCTATGACCTCGGCTCGTACATGATGAACTTGCGGCAACTTTTCGGCCCTGTTATGATCGCCTGGTTTGTACCTATTTATAGCACACCTGGGGATGGTATGACATTTTTAGTTCGCTCGGAACTGCCCAAAGAGGACAAGCAGCGAAAGCAGGAGCGTAAGTTAAAACCTACAAATTTTCTAGAGTCGCGCGGAGCTGTCGGGCCGAGTTAGCCCCAATCATCTTATTGAAGTTCATATTCGTTAGGGGTTAAAAATATAAGCGTCGCACCTTAAAGGTGAGGCAGGATTTTAGGAGCCTTTGTGTAAGGTAGCTAATTTCAATGTACTTGTCATTTATACGGAAACAACTTTAAACTGTGATATATTGCTAGGGACGATTATTGGTGAATTCGCAATGGAACCTGTCGGAAGTATGTACTAGTGTGAATGTTAATATGTATATTATATAACATTTCAATTGTTGTTGTTGAAAGTTACTATTTTCTGGTATATAATATTTTATAATAAAGTGGTTGTTTGTTAGTAATTTAAGATGTACTCAATGTACATGGACACGTTTGCGTTCTGATTTTGATAAATAAGATCTTTTGACAGTGACTAGAGTTTCGAAAAGCGATCATCAACCGATATTTATCGCAGCAAATATGTAGCTGTAGTATTCGTTGAAGACATCCGAAATCCAAATCATTTAAGTTATTGAAATGACTGATGGCAGAACGTAGCAGTTTCGGTCTTTACGACTATCATATTATATGATATATATATATATATATATATATATACATATTATATCTCTCTGTTAGAAATGCATGTTTTAGTAGTTTTCTGCTTTCAAAATGTACCCTTAGGAAGATTTACGCCCAAAGAAACGAAGTCTTCTAACCAATATAACATTCTCGGATGTGACAACGATATAAATGTTAGTACGTCCTCAAGGCTCAACATGACAATAGTAACGTCAGCAAATAATTTACACTGTTTCGTGCGAACTGTTTTCTAAATACTACACTTTGCTTGTAGGAATATCATGCCATTACCTTCGATCTTTTAGGGTCAGTTGTTAAACATAGATCATCGATACGTGTATGCCTTTGGGGGACAAAAACTTTCAAAGGAAGCGCGTAATTGAGCATTAACGATCGTCAGTATCGGTGGAATCGTATTGGTAGTATGGCATGGAGTATCATGGTATGGCATGGGGAGCTTGGAATGGTTAAAACAAAATACGTATGATACAAAAAATTGAAGTGCTTGACGAAGTTGTGCGCAAGTGATACGTGCGTACGGGTTCTACTATACTGCTAATTCGATGCACGTTTCCAGCGTGAGGAAATCACACCTAATTAACTAAAATATGATATTTACCCAACTGTTGCCGGAAATAACGCAGATTTAACATCGTCGGTTACCGTGATAACGTATCGAGTTTGATAGAGCGCGTAAACAGAAATAAGGGTGAACTAGTCACGCCTTGGTAAATAAGCTACGTAAAATAATCTAAGCAATTGCTGTGTAGAATTTAATTCAAAAAGCTCTACGTAAATTTTCACAAAAGCATTAATTATTTAGTAGTGTACATTAGGTGGGCCATCTTCCAAGCGTGATATCATTAAGAGTTATTTTTTGAGAAAATTTTAATCAACGAATTGGTATATTATGATTATAGTTAGTCTGAAAGCAAATATAGTGACAATTTATCTATTCGCCCTCATCGACTTTATCGGCAAAAAAAAGCTAATAAAAAAGCATTAGTGGCGATGCTCGAAAAACCGAACAGTGCGGAAAATGAACACGAATTTCTAGAAATTGCACAAGTAGCAACTACAGACACCGCCTCTCTGTTGGAGATCGGCGGTTTAATATAAGTCGAGAATCTTTCGTCAGTGGCACATTTGCTAAATTCTCTGGCTTTTGTTAGTAGCAATCTGTTAACGATACTGTTGTGTACCGACCGATTGGAGGGTCCCAGAACTTAAGGAATTATTCAGCCGACTTGAACAGACAAGTGGGCCTGTAATTTTATTGGAATTCACAACAGGACAGCAACAGTTGAAAGCTACGTCTAACATATATATCTCGCTATGTAAAACATAGAAAGATAAGAAACGATGGTCATCACACAGATGAAATGTGAGCTCTATTATTTGGCTCTAACTACGTGCACGATTTTGACGCTTAATCTAGATAGTACTGTAAGATAAGTATAACAAATACATGCCCTAGAACCTCTGTGAATTTGGAATTTTATTACAAGAGCTATGGAATCATATTCTTTTAAATGTATCAATCCGGTTTTTCCAAGTTTGACTAACTCATTCTTTGGTCCTTAATCGAACTGTGCTCGTCCGCTTGTGTAACCAATATATAGACTATGACGCAGTTCTGGAGATCTGTCTCATATAAATATAGCATTTTTTCAATTTCATGTTTAATACTTAGCCGTCCATGTTGAGTAGAGTTGCGGCTTGCTTCCAGTTATCTAAAAAATTGAATGTTTCTCAGGATAGCGGCCCGACACAAACTATAAGAAAATTAAGTTAAAGAGTAAAGGAGAGATAAAGAAGAACACCGAGGAATGGCCACATCTGCCGACAGTGCTGGGCTCCAACATTAACGAAGCTTTGATCTAATTCAACCAAGTTCTATATCCCTTTTTAGCCATCATCTATCAGCTACGGTACTTCGTCACGACCCGACAGAAAGCCCAATTGCACTTGATTAGTTGAGAGACTACGTTGTTGCTTGTTGCAAATGTCGAAAGTACGAATCACATTGAATAATGAAATTTTTGATTGTTACTCAAAGATGCCGCTATCAAGCAAATAAAAGTTCTTGATTTATAATGAAAAGCGTGTGTTTTAAGAGAGACAATGGGATTTTGAATCGTCAGTGCGGTCATTTAGACAGATGCTACCATTACAATCGATTTCTCCATGCTCCAAGCTATGACTTAAACGATCAGTAAGCTCCAACATCATTCTATAGAAACATAGATAAAGGATAATACCATCTGATTTATTTTCGGACGAATTAACTACCTTAACAAACAGATATTTTTCTCTTCTTTTTTTTAAGTATGATTGCAATGTGTTCCAATTATAGATTGAGACGACGTATTTCTTACGAGTTTCACGTAGGTGAAAATGACCCTATTTTTGTACATTTGGGGTTAAACGGTCGAGTTAACTTTGAGCTGTTTTTTTTCTATGATAGCTTTCCAGGACACATTCGGAAAGGGATCGCTAGTTTATATGTTTAATTTTATAAAAGGCCAGCCAAGGTCCCCCTGGAAAAGGCTGTAATGTACCGTTTCGTTGGTTTTCCCAGTAACTTAATAGTATCCTGCCCAGTGTAGTACACCTTCTAAACCCAGCGATTCTTATATTAAATAAGGCATATTATGGTGCAGGTCACGTGCCAGCTGCATTTATAAAAGACACGCTTTCCAAAGAGTAGCGAACTTACTTTTGGCACAACAGGCCTTTTTCGCTCACAAACTAGAACCATATATCAATATTTTCTAAAAAAATATATCCAAGTACCTACAAGCAGAACCGTCAGTGCAACAGGAAATTACTTTTACGCCAAAGCCCCATATTGATCCTCTGCAATGAGTGCAGAATTACCACTGGCCACCGTCAACCTTGAACACTGTCCAAATGTCTGTCGGATTACCCCTGAATTACAGATTTATTTACTCATAGATAATGTTTTACTATAAGGGTTCGGATTGCGGCTAACAGATGCTGACATTCCCATTAATGTGTTGAGCCAGTATACCACTGTGCTCTCAACGTCAGTGCGTTAGGTATAATCCCAGTTCCAATATTACTTCTGCCTGCCTGCCTGCCTGCACGTTCTCTAACAGCTTAGCGCAAGGCTAAAGGCGGCTTAGAAGACGGTGTACCCTGCCTGTACCTTTAGTCGTCCTAATTCCAGCAGTTTTGTTTCCTGTCCTTTCAGCGGTATAAAGGAGCTGCGTAAAATTCTGCAGCCAGACATAGGCACAGTCTCTCCGTATTTTTGAGCTAATTGCTTATCTTGTAATAAAATCATAACGAAGTCATTTGTTCTTACGATTGCTCCTGGGGGCGCTCGTCACTAACAGCGTGTCGGATGAGCACGCTTTAGGTTCTGGAAGAGATGGAGGCTCATGTTAAGGTAGGCATACGGGATGCACCGATTCCTGACTGTGAGACCAACGATGACTAAGCACCTGCCCGGTACATCATGTCATGTCGTAAGTAGTTCACATATCTATCGACGCTCTAGCGTAGAAGCAAAACATTGTATCTCCAACAAAGTCTTGGAATAAATAAGATCTTTACATTTGTTCGGTGAGCCGTCCACATACAAGTAGATTGATTCCTGTACTTCACAACATAGACTTCAGAAAATGTTTAACTAAAATAACCGAAGCTGTATATTTATAAAATCCCAAATAAATGGTCTAGCAAACAATTAAAAAGCTCTTCACAGAATTCTGACGTTATTACTTTAACGCCTTTTTAACATTAAACATTAACATTTAGCATTAAACTCATAAGTCCACATTTTATATAGTTTATTGAAACAGAAATAATATTCTCTATTTCGTTACTGAGCATTCAAATACCTACTTCAAAATTGGACCAGGCCAGTCGTAATAACGATTGGGGTTGGGTAACAGACATTGGGTAGAGTTACCAGCATAGGGGATCTACGACCATTATAGGCATGTGCCAATACGAGCATTTGGACAGCCGGCCATTGTCCAAGTCGTTTAATACATCGCTATTGTGACTTTATTGAGATTAAAACAGCACTGTTCTTGACTCTCTGACTGCGAAAGAAACAAACCAAGTACTACGACAAAGTGTCTCCTCCTGTTTTATTACAATAATCGTATTATTATACGATTATTTATATTATATATAAGCTGTCTTCACTCAACTTGTAGAGAATGAACATCACGAGTGTACGAAGATCGCTCGTCTATGTATGGTATACGCAGTCTGAATAATTTGCTCAATTACCTTTTGCATATGATTCCCAGTAAACCGCCAGATGCCATCCAGCACTGGTCTGTCATTTTTCCATATAATTTAAAGTAAATCGTATTTGTCTGATTTGAAGCCGAGCTACAAATCCAAACGTGGTACGGTTGTTCTATGACCCTCTTGTGCTACACCTACAATTCCATTGCAATTGTCCTTGTTGTCACATTTGACTTTTTTTTTTTTAACACGGTTCCTTCATTGTCCTGTTTCAACAAGCCGAAGCCTCTCGTTACATTGCCGTTCTATTATATGACCCTTCAGATCATGTTGCTTCATCAGTTTCGCTACCTTGTGTTAATTATCCAGAAACCATGACTCGGATATTCTTCAATAGCTATCTCCAAGTGACTCTGCCACCTTGCAGCAATTATCCCATGTTCATTATGTTACAGTTAAAGCGCCAACATGCAGTGGTTGAAGCATTACTGCTTCTAAGGTCG